AAAACAATCTGATCTACATGTCATAATCGTTCCATATTCCCCCTAACAATATTTCAAAGTACTTATATATGTCGTTCCGTTTCCGGTACATGGGGAACTAGTGATAAGTATTTATGCCTAAGCATAATGTATGAGAATTGATTGATCCTCCATAAAAGTGATGAAGTGTACAACGAAATAATTATGAAAATGTTTTCTAATTTGTACATTTATCTTTTGATTCGTATATATTTTGTAAATATGATATATGTTTTGTTATGTGCAAAAAAACTATATATTGTATGTACTATACTGTGATTTCACAATATCGCTTATTAAAATATTTTATTTCATTCCTTTATCACCCTCAAGACACCGAATATATTATTGTAGAATGAACGATGATACAGATAAATCTTTGAAAGTTAGACTTTAAGATTAATGTTACTACTTCGTTCATTTATTTAGTAGTATAAGTAAGAAAATTTAGAATCTCGTATATATATTTATGTTTTATATTTAATAGATATAATGTTTATGCAACTATATTATGATTAATAAAGTTAATTTATTTTATTTAACTCGAATTTATGTGATTTAAGTAAGTGTACTTTGATCATTACCCTATAAGACAAAGTATGGTATATGATAATGTTATGTGACTCATTTAATAATCTTTTTCATTACATCGTCTTCTCAAAAAATGTATTTTTGTTCACGATTAAGTTCTAAATATTTATTCTACAAATGAAAGTTCTATGTTATATTGCATTTTATTTTGAGTTTGTGTATATAGATACACACATAAGGGCCATGTACAATTATTTGAAAGTACATCTTGTTTGACAATCATTCTAAGAAAATCTAAATCAATCAAACTAAAGATTTGGTGCTTATCTATATTCATTTGACATCTATTTGATAAAATTACACTTATTTATTCGTTTAAATGTTATTATTTTTTGTTCTCTTATATGGGTTGAAGTCGGGAATTTACATTAATACATATATTCTAATTAACAAATTATATTATAATCCGTATATATTTATTATATAATTAATAAAATATATGAATTTTTAATTAAAAAATAGACATTCTAGGTACCCATAAGATATTATGATTGTATATTGAGTCTCTTATGTGGTTCCTTATATATATATATATATATATATATATATATATATATATATATAAAGAAAGGAAAGAGCAAAAGACATTTCCTAAATTGTGCATATAGTCTTTAAAATCCGGACAGAAATTTCAACTTTCAACCACCTTGTGGAGTAGTTTTTTCAACTTACAAAAATATTAATTTAATAAATTGAATTGAATTGAAATTCTCTCTATTTGAATTCAATAAAAACAGGCCATACAAAATCAAATTATTCATTGAAAAATTAAAATTTTTTAAAGGATTTAAGGAGCAAAATCTGGATTTAAAAAAAAAAAAAACTAATTTAATTGTAAGTAAAGTTTAATTATAAGGAATAAATAAAAAAAATGGTCACAGAATTGGGTCAAACTTATATTTATGAACATCCCAATTTTGACTTTTAAAAATAGAAACTTGTCTTCTTCTTATTTTTATTTTCTTTTAAATAAATTAAATTTCATATATTTCTCAAACATCTTTGGTGGGTAAGGAGGCATTTATCTTTTGACCAAATGGGTTAGGGGGTCATATATCTATATCATTATATACTAAATAATTAGAGCTTAATTAGTACCATAATCAAAAAATATTGACACATCTTTGTATATAAAATTCACTATTACCAATTTTAATATGCAATTATTTAGTAATAAGAAAAATAAAGGTGTTTACAAGCATAACTTCAATACAAATTTAATTTCAAGATTCATAACTCATTTTAACTACCATTTAAAAAGTTATATATATATATATATATACATATTTATTTATATTTATAAAATTAAAAATATTAAATGGGATATTTTAATAAATTAAAAATATTACTCATACTCTAAATTTCACTTTCAAAATTTATTTATAGTCTTTATTTATTAAGGTTACTTTTGACATTTCATAATCACGAATTTATATATTAATAAAATTAAATCTATTAATTATTAATAATGTTGGAGTTAACCAATCTGATATAACAAGCCAAAAAAATAAATAAAAAGAAAATGTAAATTTTTAATCATGGTTAGATATATGACGTCACCATGGTTAAACTGACTAATCTCACTCCCGGTTTGGCCCTTTGCATGGGTTGGATATTAGCTGTCAAATAACAAAAAGAAAAATCCAAATAAATATTTGTTTATTTTATTTTAATTTGTTTTTATTTATATATTTTTAAAAACAATATAAAATACTTTCAAATGCTTTCTCTTCAGCCTCCCCCTTTCTTCTTCTTCTTCTTCTTTCCCGTACTCTGCCTTTGTCTGTCTCTGCTTATTTTGCTTATCTCTTGCCAAAAATTCAGTACTTTTTGCAAGCTATCTAACTTCGAAACGGTGTCGTTTATCCTCTACTACACTTCCAACTTACGATAAAGCTCAAGTTTTGATTTTGGGGAATCAAGGATTTTGATCGCCCATAATAAAACTCTCAACTTTTAATGCTAAACTTTCAAAATTTAGCAAAAAAGTTGATTTTTTGCAAGAGAACAAAAAGAAAAGGAAAAAAAGGAACAAACTCTCTGGTAGTGGTTGGTTTGAAAGACAAAACCATTTTCTCTGGCTTTTAAGCTTACAGTGCCGTGGAATTTGGGTGATTCTTCTCGAGGGTTTGATCTTTTAAAGTTGGGGTTTTGTTTTGATATCTCTCTTTGCCAATGCAGCTTTTGTAATCTGGTGAGTCTTCTGCTTCTTTTGTTTTAGCTTAATCTCTGCTTCCCCACCTCCAAATTTCACTAGGTTTGGCTTGTTTAACAAGCTTAATTGACTAAAATCTAGGGTTTTCTCAATACCTTAAGTGATTTTTCTTTATATTTTCTGTGCCAAAATATGGTATTAGATTGTTAGTGATGCTCTGTAAACAGTCTGATGGAAGGGTTTGTTTCTCCTTATAGTGTTTGTTCTTATTTTCAGTTTTTTTTTTCTTTTTTGCTTGGTTCCTTGGCAATATTATGATATCCTTCCTTATACTAGTCTATAGTGGTGTGTTTATTCAACATCTTTTTGGGCACTGTTATTATAATAATGATGGGAATATTATATATATATATATATATATAATATTTAGCTAGGTTAAACGCAAAATCAGATAGGTCTAGGATTTATATATGCGTGGTATGAAAATTATAATTTGGACCCACCAATAATCTCTTATTTGTTTGAGGTTGTTCTCAATCACACCCACCATGGATCATCATTGTCCTTCAAATCTATTTAATTCCGAGTTTCATAGTTTTATGAACTCTATCTCATGGGTGATCTATATTCTTGAAAGTCTTTCTCTTGCTTGGTTTTGTCACTTTTATGCATACTTTGTTGGGTATTCATTTTTATAATCTCCATAAGCAGGTGACATTTTTTAATTGATTCATGGAACTCGTCTGTTTGTGAGCTGCAATTGTTTAATCAAGGTGATACCATTTTTAAACATGTAATGGAAATTATACTACCGAATGAATGTTTATTATATTCGACCTCGTGATGTCAAATAAGATTAGCCTCTGATTGAGACAATTCGTGTCTCTTGGTTTACGATATGGACATTGCTTGTTTATTTGTTTATTTTTTAGCATATTGTCGTATGTTGATTTGCATAAGATTTTATTATTTAAGTTACAATAGGGATGATATCAACCTTATCAGTAAGCCCAAATTCAATGTGGTCTAATTAGGGATGCTGAATTTTTTTTTTTTTTTTTTCATCAAATTGGATTTTATCGAATAGTCAACCATAAATTTCTAT